CCCACAAACCCCTAAACCCTAAAGCTTCCATCAGTTCTTCCTGTGTCAATATTGTTTTCCAGGAGTTGCCGTGTGCTGATATGGATAATCCTGGCGTTGTGGAAGCGCCAGCTGCGTCATCTGCGTCGATGTCTGAGATTGAGGCCGGGTCTCTGCGCGCTGCTGCGTTGTGCTCGGGCCTCCATGAGCCTTACGCCTGCTCACGATGGTCATCATATTCAGCAGCTTCATACCAATCATGCCATGTGTCACCTGACTGTTGGCGGTCGCTTGCTGCAGACGCTGAGCAAGGCATCAGTGCCACATTGGGGAAGTAGGTAGTCTCTACACTTCCTGTGACAGCCATGATGGGAAGCATCCTCTTTGCCATGCTGTTTCTGCCTCACGTGGCATTTGCGGCCCAGTCTGTGCTGGAGCCAAATCAGCAATTCAGAATTCTTGCGCTGCATGGTGAGTGTAGGGGATGTAGGAGTGAAAGATGCAGAAGCCAAGGATGATGATACCGCTACAGGCGTGTCCGAAAACTTGTGGTTTTATGCGGACCAGCATGTGCCAGAGCTGATGGAGTTCGTGGCCCGTGCCTGCGGAACTGAGCCGCACGCTTATCATGCTTATCATGCTTATCCCTCTACCCAAGCATGACATTTGAACTCACAAATTTCCCAATAGCTCATGCCCAGGTCAGACCTTCATTTCATTGACCTGTTCTCAGCCAGCGGATCTGTGGCAAAGCAATTTACTCGTGCAGGGTTCAAGGCTGGGCACTGCATCATATGCATCATATGGTGAGTTCTGCTGGTTGTCTGCCGAACAACGCACAGGCTGCCCAGTATGATATTCAACTTTGTCCCCGCAGCATGGACGTGTCCTGCAAGAGAGGTTTCCTTCACCTGTTGAGCCGCTTGCCTGATTGGTGTGCGCTTAGCTTATCTACATGGCATGCGCCTCTAGAACTTGCAAAATTTGCAAAGTACTGGCTAACCATGCTAGCCCTTCACTTGGCTTCCCAACGCCTTCAGCATACTGTTCTGTTGTAACTACGTTGTGAATCTTGTAACTACTATGATGTGATTGTAAGGTGCCTGATAATCCTCATATCACCTTTCTCGCGTACTGTGTTTGGCGGAGAAAGAATCCAAAGTAGATCCAGCATATATTGCATATATTGCAGTGGTGTCCGACTTGGGTATGTACTCTGTGAAGCTGCTGGCTACAGGGTTTGCTTCTGCGCAGTCTTTGGGAGCCATGACTTGCAGCTTCCATGGTGCGTTTGATCAAGCAGAGATGGCCGTGCCCATGTTGATAATCTTGGCTGTGCTGGTAAGACTCGTCTACCTGTTCTATCTCTGGACTCGCCGTGCTGGGTCTGCAGAGTGTGCTAGGGTTGATGGAGTTGGCGCAGGCATGGGTGAGGATGCAAGCTCCAGCCCACCAAGCGAGAATCCAAGCGCGTCTCCAAGCAACACGGTTGTGGCCACACCTCGGCCAATGAGGCGTCTGCTGGCAACGCATTCATCTCCTGATCTGAGTGGCTTGCAGGCGCTGGGAGTGCATGTCTCCGCTTCCTACCACGCCACCCTTCAAGAGGCGCAGGAAGGTCATGAAGGTCGCAGAGGAGTCCGCTGCGCAGCTGCCCCAGGACCTCAATGATGGGCTCGTGGCGGACTTTGATTGTGTACCTTGGACACCGTGCTCTGCGAGATCATGGTCTATGAGCCAAAAGACTTGTTCGCGTCGTTCCCATCGTTCAGAGATTTCAGAGTGTTCACCGGCCGCTCCAGACGGGGCAGCCAGTGTGAAATCAGGAGAAAAGCTTTGAGGTCGTCACCTTCATTGCTCAGACTTGATGACCGCTTGATGACCACGGGGGGCTGGTTGTCAAAAAGTCCACTTGGTTGCTGATGATGCGGTTTGAGGGTGCATTTGCGTCATGTGCATATTGTGCATGAAGCCCGAGCTAAGACATCTAAGACAAACTCATGTTCACATTGTTCACAATGCGCTTTTGCTCAGGACTGGGCATGCGCCTTATGGACAGGGCGCTAATTGTTGCTGGGCCACCGTGTTCACTGAACATTTGGCTGCCACTTGTCCAGCACGGAGTATAGTCCCCCTCAAGCAGATAGAATATGGGCTTGGGTATACATGGTATACTATATATACTTTATATACTTTACTATAATATATATAATAAGATCTCCCTATACCCCATATTCTATCTGCTTGAGGGGGAGTATAAGTAGAGCCGGTGCAGGGTGTAAAGCGAGACCATGCCCATTATTGTCCAAACGTATCCATGATTGTCCAACAGGTCCAATGTGCTCATCATCTTCATACCGTATTCCTAGCGAAGTTAAAACTGGGCATGTAGAGCATACAAGGTCGTCCTCCGTGCGCAAAAGAAGCTTTCAAAATCCCAGCGGCGATCAAGAGAACCAGAAGGTCCGCCTCTCCAACTTGATCGCTTCCAACATGGTGCCTTGGCTTGAGGTGGACAAGCTCTGACTGTGCGTTTTGCGGATGTTGCAGTGGAGCCGTGCTACAGCATTACACGCGGTCTTCTCACTCTTAACTTGGCTGCAGGCCTGCCTGCTCACGATCCTGCGGACTAGTGGGAAGCAATTTTATTTCGTGATCGAGCAACCTAGCTCTTCTTGGTTGTGGCAGCTGAACTTCATGATTACTTTGCTGACCGCCGTGGGTGCATCTACAGTTACCACGTGGTGCCTTGGATAATCTTCCATATTTGCAGTGCCTGTGGATCTTGTGGAAATTGTGGGGTGTGCCTTGCGTCAAGTGATTCCTGCTGAGGCAAGCCTTCTTTGGACACGACATGCTGAAACCAACCCAGCTTCGAGGGACCTTACCAAATCTGGTGAAGATGCGCCGAGTTATGACCAAGGAGGCTCGAGCTAAATACACAGCCCGCTTTGCCGAGTGCTCAGATTTCTCATGCAGGATGGACATGATGGACAGAGAGTCAGAATGAGTCTGTGCAGTTGTGTTTCTTCCATTTGCCATATCCCACTGTTGATGGCTTCTGCAGCTAGTTCATTTTATAGCTGTATTAGCTGTGGTTCATAGGGTTCTTATGATTCATAGGCTGCTCAGTCGCATGGTTTCTTTTGATCCTTTCTCCTTCACTCTTCACAAAGGAGCAGCGGCAATCCCGTCGCAAGACCAAGAAGATTTATGTGCAGAAGAAGGTCTCAGCAGATGGCAAGATTTCAGTCTGCGGAGGCTTGCTCTTGATTGTTGCAGTCTGCTTGTCATGGCAGAGGTTGTTCATGCGTGTATTGTGTGAAAGAAAAATCATAGCATTCATATCATTCACAAAAGTTGGAGGCTCTAACTTGCGCAGCTCTGCGTCGTACCCTGCGGCATTTAGCCGGGCTTTGCTGAGCATCTGGAGGAAGGCCTTCCTGGTGTAGCCGTGGTCCCATCATCCTTGATGCCTCTGAAGACGCGTGCGCAAAGTGCTGCGTCGGGTATGTTGGGTAGGTTGGGTCAGCTGGCAAATCGGCTCTAATTGCGAACCTCACGCAATTCGCGCGTGAGATTGGGGAAAAGGATTCTGATGATTCTGAACCATTTCCAGTGCTGCGCACTTCAGTGGTTGGAACATGTTGGAACACTCAGCAGACTCAGTTGCGGTTGTCGGGCAGGCGCGAAGCTTTACCGACTCCTGCGCAGCATGCCCAGCCAAGAGGGTCAAGCGTGATCCTGAGGAGTTAGAGGCCAGGGGTTAAGGGTTTATGGGTTGGGGTTTGAAGGGTCCAGGGTTTAGGGGTCCACGGGTTCATGCGGTTGAGATATTGAGGGGCTTAGGGGGTGCGCTGGGGTCGTAAGTATTCAGGATTCTAGGGGTTTACGGGTTTGAACGGCATAGGGTGGTTTATACATTTTATACCATTGCGTTATTATTTCTTCTACTACTACTACTACTACTATACTAGGAATACTAGGACTATGAATGGTATGATTCGTATTACCACTAGGGCTAGGAAATGGGTCCCTGGGTGGGGGGGTTGGGTGACTGTTTCCCTATCAGGCCCTACGCAACTGTCATAGCACCCCCCCACCCCAGACCTATTTTTGGAGCTTCATGATGTTCCTCTTGTGCCGGTTTATACAATCATTATTACTACTAATACTACTACTAGGACTAACATTGGTAATATTGGTAGTATTCTTATTACCGCTAGGTCTAGGAAATGGGTCTCTGGGTGGGGGGGTTGGGTGACTGTTTCCCTATCAGGCCCTACACAACTGTCATAGCACCCCCCCACCCCAGACCTATTTTTCGAGCTTCGTGATGTTCCTCTTGTGCCGGTTTATGCAATCATTATTACTACTAATACTACTACTAGGACTAGCATTGGTAATATTGGTAGTATTCTTATTACCATTAGGGCTAGGAAATGGGTCTGTGGGTGGGGGGGTTGGGTGACTGTTTCCCTCAGGCCCGACACAACTGTCATAGCACGCCCCCCGCCCCAGACCTATTTTTGGAGCTTCGTGATGTTCCTCTTGTGCCGGTTTATATAATCGTTATTACTACTAATACTACTACTA